AATTGAGGCTGAGCAGCCGCACGCACCTGGCGGGGTACCTGCTGAACTACGTCGGCCACTGCTCGGTCTACGACAAGTTCACGGCGAACTGCCAGACGTTTGCCGCCGACCTCTACGGCTTCCTGTCCGGAGATGGCGCGGCGAAACCGTTCGGGATGATTGTGAAAGCAAGGTATAGTCCGAAGACGCACCTGTTCCTGTACGCGCCTCAGCCCGAAGATGAGCAGTAACTCGATGCTGCTACGGTGACGCGGCGATCCTCGGATTCGAGCCGCCAGGTGAGCGTGCACGGCTGCCGCGGGCGCGCGAGCTCGCGCCCCGTCGCGCGGGAGGGCCTCCTTGCCCAAGAGGGCTAGTGGCGGCGCGCGCGGTGGTCCCTGGCGTATCCCTTCCCGGCGGCCGCCGCCAAGGCCACAGAGTGTGACTGATGGGCAAATATGCCTCTACCGCTACCATCTGTAGGACGGGGGAAAAGGGAGGATGAGGAGGTCCTCCTCTTCCTCCTCCTCCTCCTCCTTCTCCTCCTCCTCCTCCGTAGCCATTTTGGCTCAAGCCGTGCGGCAGGCTCGGACGGTTCTGGCGTGTGTGCTGCCCACCGAGCCGCACGGGCGCGCCATGGGATATCTCGTCTGTCTCGTCTGTCGCGATGCTGGCAAGACTTCGTGGATCCCCGACACCAACCCCCGCCAGAAGTGTAAGTGCTGCAGTACTCCTTTTCCTGGCCGCTCCAAAGGACAGGTCCCAGGAAAACATGGTCGCAAAGGCGACAAGGATGGCAAAGGCAGGAGCAAAGGCAGTGACAGTGAGCATGTCTTGTCTCCTCCCCGTGCTCGTTTCCACGATCGTCATGTTGATGACGGTACTGCCACTCCCCCAGTTCGGTCTTTGGATGAACGTCTTCAGGCTCCATTGGATGAGGATGTGCAGGATAGATTCGGGTATGACTCTGGCGACGATGGTCTTGGCAGCGGTCGTGGTTTTTGGGCTGATTACGTCGACGACGACGTTGATGGCGGCTGTGTCGACACCAATGGCAATGAGCTCTCGGTTGCGCAGATTGATCAGATTATCAGGGCCCTTTTGGGCCAGCTGGATTCCCTTCGCCTGCTTCCGCCCACCAGGTATGTTCGTGATCAGGTCTCGGGTCTCCAGGATGAGGTGCAGCATCTCCGTGCACAGAAGTCCGACTTGCTTACCGTTCCCCAGAAGCGTGCGTTCTATAAGCAGCGCCATCACTGGGCCAGTAAGAAGTTTGACAAGATCTCTAGCCAGATCCGTGAGTTCGATCGTAAGATCCTGGACCTTCAGAGCGAAAGGGACGCCCTCTGCTCTCGTCAGGAACGGGTCGCCCAGGATATGGCGATGTGGCAGTCTAAGCTGCAGGATCTCCCGTCGAACGAGCCAGTCCCTGAGGGCTTCACGCCTCCAGATCTATCAGCCGTGGCGGACGTTTTCGCAGCTTCCCAGGCAGCGCAGAGGGACAAGAAGCTTGCTCAGGCGTTGCGGGACCTCCAGGGTATCGTTATGTCTGGCTATGCTCCTGTTGGTGCTGCCAGTGAACCTCGGTCCCAGTCTGAGGAGCCCAGGATGTCTGTCGACCAGCAAGGTTCCCCAACACGTGTTGCCAGGGCTCTTCCCCGTTCCTCTTCCTCACTGCCGCCTGCGCCGAAACGTCCTGCTCATGCCCCTGATGCTGCAGTTGATCAGTCGGGACAGTCAGGAAGGTGTTCGCCGCCGGCTGCCGCCACCTCTGGCCCCGCCGACACCCCAGCAGTGGTGGAGGGCTCCAATCCCAAGGGCCCGTCTGACCTTTAGCACATCGGAGACCCCGCCCGACAAGTCAGCCTTCGGACAGAAGCCGCGTCGGGACTGGGTCATCGTGACTGTGAACGTTACCTCCTGGTCTAATGCCGATATTTTCCTGGAGGCTTATTCTGATCGGTTTGATGCTGTTGGTTTTCAAGAACTCTGTCGTACAGAACAGGCTATCGAGTTCGCAGTCAACCGTGCTCACAAGCATGGGTTCCATGCGCACCTCCACCCCTCAGTTAGTACTCAGAAAGGCGGATTGAGTTCAGGAGTGGGCCTTGTCTCGCAGTATGCCAGGTCTTTCTCTGAACTTGTATTGGATCCGATTGTTGTCATGCCCCCTCCAGAGAGATTTATCCTGAAGCTATGGCATGGGGTCGTGGATTCAGGTATCCCTTGGGCCAATGTCTATTTGCATACGGGGGAAGGCGCCGAGGATCGCAATGCCCAGCTGCTGATGCAGGTGGCAGCAGTCATGAAGACCATATCCACCCCCTTTGTCATATCAGGGGACTGGAACATGTCCCCCATGGACTTGCAGAATACGGACTTCTTAACGCTCATAGGTGGGGTCATTGTTGCGCCATATCGCCATACCTATGAGTCTGCGGGTGCCCAGTCGTTGATTGACTACTTTGTGGTTCACCCCTTGCTCTCGGCAGCAGTTAAGTGTGAGGTCTGGGAGACCCCCCTGACCCCCAAGCACCAGCCTGTCGCTCTTACCCTTCGTGGAAATCTCCACTCTGATTTGGTATCGGTTTTTCGGCGCCCGCCACATATCCCTGTTATCCGTCCAGTGGGGTGTTCAAACTGCCCGCCTTCCTGGGATGCCTTTCCTGATCCTGGCGCAGTCAACTCTGTGGAAGATTTGGAACGCCTTACCTCTTCTTGGCTGAAGACGTATGCCCAGGAGTTGCTTGCCCTTTTCCAGTTGCCAGATCCGCAGGATTACACCAAGTGGGGTGAGCCCCCCATCGACCATCCAGATTTCGGTTTCCAGACTGTTTCCTGGAGGTGTGTTTTCGTCATACGAAGGAAGGCTCTGGAGGTATCTCTCTAACCGTCTTGGTACTATTCTATATCTTGCTGGCAAGCAGCTGCGGCCCGCATATCGGAGAGCCTGCCAAGCCCTGCGCCGATATCGTCCTTCGCAGCGTGATGGTGGTCCTCCCCCCGATTGGTCGTGGTGGAGGTATTATGCCAACAGGCTTGATACCCTAGATCTTGGTTCCATAAAATTGGCTGCGGGGCGTATTGGCTGAGTCCGCATCTGCTCTGGAACGTGCAGCATCGGCGCAGAGGTACCAATCCTGGACATCATGGGCCATTCGATCTGTCCAGGAAGGGGGTTCTGCTGCGCACCGATTCGTCAAGGGATCTATGGATTGGGCTTCCGTTGACAAGACCACCCCGAACCCAGATGCCCCAGTCAGTACGCCGCAGCATCATCTTAAGGCGCGGGAAGTAGCTTGGCATGCTATCTGGGAGCCCATGCAGGAGCACCCTGACGATCCTTGCCGAGCCCTGGATTTCCCGCCGTTGCCGCCCGACTGCCTTGCATCCTTGCCTCACCCGTCCCTGGACAAGTACAGACAGATGTGTCGCAGGTACAAAGCTCGTACGTCGGTGGGATTGGACTCTATGCATCCACGTCACCATGCGCTGCTCTCCGACTCGTCTCTCCTTGCCCTGTTTGGTATTTGGCGTGCTGTTCTGCGATTGGGTAGATTCCCTCCCATTCTCGCTGGTTTCATCATGAATTTGATCCCGAAGGCTGATGGTGGCGAGCGTACGGTTGCCCTGTTCACGACGTGTGTGCGCACGTTCTCTCGGTTCTTCAGGCACGCGCATGGTGCTATGTGGGCGCGATTGCATCCTCGTCCGTACGTGTATGGTGTGCGCGGTCATTCCTGCCAAGCATGTGTGTGGCGCATGGGCGTGCTCACGGAGTTAGCATCTGCCGAAGGTTTGTCTGTGTTTGCACTCTTGCTCGACACCCAGAAGGCATTCGAACAGGTTCGCCACGAACTGCTCATAAGACGTGCTAGTGAGTTTGGGTTTCATCCAGCACTCTTGAGGGTTTTCCTGTCTCTGTATCGTTCCCCACGTGTTGTCACGCTGCGGCGAATTGTTGGGGAGTGGGTCAGAGCTAGCAAGACTATTGTAGCAGGTTGCTCTTTTGCCGAACTGTTTATGCGTATTTTATTGATGCCCGAGTTGGATTCGTTTCGTCAGTCGTATCCAAATATGCACCTTGGCCTCGTCGCCGACGACGTCCAGGTCCTGGGGATAGGCTCGGAGAGGGAGTTGCTCAAAATCGGTCCCGATGCGTCGCACCTTTTGATGAGCAAGCTTACTTTCTCGGCATGTTTACCGCTCTCCGAGAAGAAAATCGTGCTCTTGGCTACTGACCCCCAGTTGGCTCAGAGCATTGCAGCTGGAACTCCACGTCTCGCTGGTGCAGTCAAGTTCTCGTGTCGAAACCTCGGGATTGGCTATCAGTTACGTCAGGGGCGTCGTTCTCGTCCTGTTCTTACTGGCCGATTGAAAAAGGCCAGGTTTAAGGCCCGACGCCTATTGAAGATAAAGAAGGCTGGTGCAAAGGCTGCAGGTATTGTAAACACTAACTTGCGGTCCACTGGCATGTACGGCATTGACGTCGTCGGTCTATCTACTCACCAGATTCGCCAGGTCCGTGCTATATACCACGCTGGTCTCGGCACAGGTAAGCGTAGGTTCGTCGCGATGGATTTGGCGTTGCATGGTGTTACCGATCCTGCTATCGATGCACATGCTGAGGTTATTCGTCTCTGGACTGTCTCTAGATGGGACTCTCTTCTTCCTGTCGGAATGATAGACCAAGTTTTCCAGTTCGCCTACGCCAAGGTGACGCCGGATACCCCGTGGACTGAATTGCAGGGCCCAGGGCAGATTTTGGTTGCCACTATGCGTAGAATTGGGTGGTCTGCGGTTTCGCCCACAATATGGCGAACTTCTCTTGGAACCATCGTTGATATTTCGTCTACTTCCCCTCGTGAAGTGGTGGCACTAGTGATTCGCGACGCGTCTGCCTGGTCCTGCAAACAGGCCTCTGAGCGCCACCCATCTTTCGGTCACCTGTCTGGACCCCTTTTCTTCCCCCTCTTCTTTCCCTTTTGTCTAAGAAGACTGAAGGATGGGGTGTCCTCCAG